GCACGCTTCCGCTACGTGCACAAAAGCGAGATACGACCTGCATCAGCCGTACACTTGTTTTAATCCGTAATGGTCCACATTTGAACCTACACGCTTAAGGGCAACTTATCGTTACACAAGCAATAATATAAACGTAAATGATATGTTGAACTGAGAGGTTACTTATATGTGGAAAATTCATCATTCAAGGCTATCACAGGACGCGTGTGCCTCGAACAGTCAGCATAGTCGGAACCGCAAAGAGAAAGGACACTGACGCCTGTTTATCAGGACCAAGCCGTAGATCTGCTTTCATGTCTATGAATGAGACGTGATCAATATACCAGCAAGGCCAAGTGCATATAACGGGGGCAGATGGTTCGTTCTGTGCTGGGGATCGACTGTCTGAAGTAATGCTTAATTAGCGCAGAAGTGCCAAACATAAAGCTCGAAAGTTTATATTTGAACGATTCCGTACATTGAATATTGAGCCTAAGGCCATCATGCCTAGTAAAAGGAGTCGGCGTGGCGGGTTGCGTCAATTACAATTGTGAATGTGAGTGGAAGTGAAGCGCCCTAATTCGCATACGATCACCATGGCCGTTCATCTTGGGGTGGGTTACCCTTGCTATAGCTTTACTAAACAAACTGTGTATTCTGTCAGATGTTTGCTCTTTTTAAGATTTTTCGTTTTCCTTCTGTTCACCGTTAACTTTCGAAAATAGGCGCCAGACTATATCTGGCTTTTGACTCACGTACACCGCGTGTGGTGGAGCGGAACGAATTTGAAGAAATCATTTCCATTTTCAGTCTCCTTATTTGTATAAAATCGTAAAGCGTTGCTAAAGGCGCAGTTAAATGACCTTCCAGTGTCGGATATTTCAGTAGAATTTTGTTATATCCTATGAGCATGTTTCTGTCTAACAAAAGAGGCTCGCTGATCCCTCAAGGCTCGATTAATTGTACAATCCGCAGCTAGTTTTAGGTATCATACTGAAAAGTCGATTTAGTCACGCTTTGCGATGGGATGATGGAATCACGCCGTACAGTCCACTTATATCAGGAAAACTGATGGGTTTTAGCGCTCCAATATGCATATAAATTTAACTTGAACCCGCGCAAGAGTTGCCACTGAGATTGCTACACTTATTCCACATGTACCCGAAAAAACGTGGTTATATCGGGTCATAGAAATCAATTAGTGCCACTGATCGCCGTCATCCGCAGCAAATGGACCTTTTTCAAACGCATTGTTTCAAACGCATTTTTTAGCATTGATGATATCAATGCTAAAAAGTGTCGCTGTCTCGTTAATTGAGATTGGTCTGAGGTGGCGTCGATGTAAAGCGAGCTCAAGGTGACATTGTTGGAATACTATCCCCGCCGTGACGAGTCTTTCCGTTGTGAAAACTCAGCAAAAGCATGCTCTTTTGTTTTTTGTTACCATTACTTAATTAATGGCCCAAAACTTGATATATTAGTGAAGCAGGGCCCAGGTGGGGCGAAATATCATTAGACTGCATTCGAACTTCGTTGCCCCGGCGAATTGGTTTATGATGATGAAAATGTCTGTTGACGCTCTTCACACACCACCGATCTAGCGGGTCGATAAAGCCGCAGGTATTTCGGTACATTGCAATATGTGTGTGTCTGCTCTTTCGATCTATTTATTATTCACACACATCTTATATAAAAGTAAAAACAAGAAAAATGCTCATTGGCAACACGAAGCCGATTGCGTATAGCGGATGAGCTGCCCACTGAAAAATATTTTTTCTGCCACTTTTATCCGTTTTTGGATACGTTGGTCGCACGTCTGACGAAGACCTCGTTTCCAACCGTCTATGCACTGTTAAACTAATTCGTCTTATACAATCTATCTTATAGGAAAAATATAAATGACACAAAACGTTTAGAACCGTTGAGAATCAGTAATAGACATCGGCAAGCATATGAAGTCGCTTATCTTGAGCTATGGAATCTGGTTGAAGCGCTCGCGCGAATGTCCTGCGTGTTCAAGTTTTGGGTTTACGTTGAGCGACAATAAACATTCGCTTTCGGGCACTGTGAGACGAATTCAAAACCGACCCATCTATCTAACAAAGGACCATATCATAGTGTTTTGTTTTGAATGAAATCGGTCAAAATTATTTTTTTTCTTTTCAGTTTCTCAATGACCGATGTACGTCGATACAAACGGATCTATTTTCAGACTGTGAAATTAGCGAAAGGTCGTGATATACGGTGCCTATATGCCCCATTCGTTGATCAGGCCAACATTAATCAATGGTATCAAAATTGTATTACTTTTTGCACGTTGGGAAATACGGAACACAGCAATGCTATCCATCTACTACGAAAAACTATCAATTTGCGAACTCTATTATCCTGTATAGTGGCATACGCAGAACAGTGTGAAGTAAAGGGCTTCATTTCAATAGCAATTCTATGCAGTTTCGGTATAGTGCCTGTTACGGGCCTAACAAAGATTACATCGAAAAAATCCATTGAGATTTCGATCAGCAATGGAGTACAATTCGACAGACACAGTGTAATCTGACCAGGAAACTCTAAACTATAATGAAGCATTCTCGGTACCAAAAACCTTCCGCGTCGACACAACGGTGATTGTTTCGTTGAGAAAACGTGCAATGCAATATTTAAGACGCAGTATTTCCTATGTTCATTATGGACATGTAAACATCGTAGTCCACTATCCTGTAACCTCACTGATCCGACAAACGAGTGAGAGTCGTTTGGATACGTGAGCATAGTTTCGTCAGTCTTTTTGTTTGTTTACGTTGCCACTTTGTTACTATCGGCTTGGCAAGCACAAGGATCTTCTCTCACAAGTCCATTGTGAGCCTAACAGCTTTTGCATGTATCACGCGTCAGTGTGCGCGTGTGTACACACAGTTTTCTGAAGAAGTGAATTCTATACTAGACCTATGCCACGACCTTGACTTGCTGCAATTGCGAACTCAAGCTGATGGTGATATTTTTCGTTGGCCTGCGTAGCCATGACGATATTCGCATTACATTGTATGAAAATTATACGGGACGAAAACCTTATTATTTTATACATAATCCTACTGTCATCGTTATAGCGGTAGCGTATATGCTGCGGTATGTAATTGGCTAGGAAAGCGGTTAAAGTCTGAATCCACGACTCTACTGTTAAGTATTCTCCGCGTTTACTTATCCTTGTTTCTGCTGTCATAACACAAATAGTCATTACGCCGTTCGGGACGATTACACCACCTTCCCTGTTGATCTTTATCGTCCCATTGAACCGACCGGGCAGCTCTAGTCACCGGCGGAGGGCTTCATTAACGTCAATATAACGTCGGTGTGCTGGGTTGGCGACTCTAAGTTGTCGTTTCTTCGCGCCCGCCTGAACGACCGCTCATCCGCTTTGCTCTATGCTGTTGCCCTCATCGGAAGCAAAGGTAATTGTCGTTAGCTCATCGGCAGAGCCGGAAGCGCGAACAGTCTGATATCGAGCTGCGGGTAACGGGTGCTGCAGGCTAATGCTGTCCCATCGCCGCGGATGCTTTCGCAACGGCCAATGTCTGGAATCGATTTTTCCTCTTCGGTTTTATCTGTATTTCTTTCTCTACTTTTTCCCACGAAGCCAGATTCAAGTTTGGTAGTGTTTGCGTGCGGCCGACATGACGGAAGAAATCATGTGCAGCTGTTACGTAAACGCGACTCGCATATCGGTCGATGTTATCTGACCTCATGAGCGGCTTTGATGCCCGCCTCGGCTTGCAAGTCTGTTGTCTGACACTGATATTTATTGTCGTCGTTATCTTCTTCGGCTGGACACTTTTTGCTTTTCTGCACATGGATTACCCGCTTATAAATTTGATTGGTGCACGATGTTCAGAAGTAGCGAAGTTGTAGATAATTCGCATGCGTTATAGTGGTCTGATCGAGAATTTTTTCATATGAGGCTCTGCATCATCGAAACTGGAGCCCACTTAACTAGCTGATCTGATTTTTGCTCTAGAAAAAACGAGATACAAAGCCATACGCTTTCACACGTGCAACAGTTGTCGCGGTATACCCTCTGGCTCCGGAGTAGGAAAAACGTCACGCCACACGTCGAAGTGGCCGCTTTAAGGCGCAGTTAAACGTATCGTTTGAAGACGAAAGGAACAGCTAGCTTTACAAAACGTAATGAACTTATTCCAGATTTCATCTCATGTTATTCAGAATACGACAACGGCATATCGCAACAAAACCCCAAACAACTGCCGTCGATTCGCACTGCTCTTTCAAGGCGTTCGGTAGGACAAAAATGATTTAGGCAGCACTCAATAGGCATCTCACTGATAACATGGACAATCCCTATGTCAGGCTATATTTTAAGGGAGGTACTATGAGAAAATGCCCAGGTCGGGCACCAACTCGTTTGTTTTTCTTCTGAAGCACATTGTCTTGAACCCGATAGAGTTATATAAACCCTACAAGGCGACATAATCGTCATGCTCTGTATCGTCTTAATTATTCTAAGCTTATCATCAAATATTAATCACTACAGAAAGTTTTCAATCCATCGTCTGTAGCAACCGTTGTGGCTATCATTTAGGCATTTTCCAATAACTCATATAGCACTGCATTTCTCTATCAAAATCTAAATACAATATTTCCCCCTAATGCTTCAGTAGCTGATTTTCCCGTGTGAACCCCGTTCTTGACAAATGATCATTAGAAACGCTGCCCCGACACGATTTTCAGTCTGTTTCATGCCCTTAACTGCTTTTCCACTTCTGTTCAATACAGATGCTGCAGCTGCTCCTTTTGCTGTCGCGGAGAACTACCAACTTGACAAAATTGCCCCAATGCTTAAAGAGACGCCATAACAGCGGCTTTTCTCTCTCCGTTTTTTCTTTTTCCTTTCCTTTCCCTTTGTAATTGGAGGTGTTTAGGGGAGGCGGGCAATCGTGTCGACAATGACTGCGATCACCGATAACGGGGCAAGCGAACTATTCGACAAAGACGACGAAGACGCAGTTCTCAGATGATATCCTGTGGAGCCTAACTGTGCCGTTAAAATAGCTAAAATGAACAGTGACAACGGAAGATGAAAAATTTATGAGGACGCTACGTTACAACACTGGCGAGGGGTCTGCAGGTGGCCAAACGCGCCATTGCTAACAGCTAGCACGCGATTCCAGTCAGTGAAGCGCTCAAGAGCAGAAATCTTGTCTTCAGGCTTTAGCGTGCCACTGTTAATGGTACTGCTACCGTTGCCAATAGGTTGCAAGCTGGCCTCGTTACCGGGGGGAAATGGCAAACCGCCGTGTCGCGCCGCCGCCTGTTACCGTCATACGCTGTTGGTGGCAGAACCGCGGCGCTAAGTGACAAATGACAAAGTGATGACGAGACCACGTGATAGAAGCGTAACCTAGCAACGTGTAACGCTGCATCACGTCCCATCTCGCTGATTTAGATCCATGGGGGTTACATTGAAGATAGCAGGCAGGGGAAACCGGGGGGTGAAAAATAAGGCAGGAAAATAGCTTGCCATAAATGATAATTGGTAAACGGAATTTTGAATTCGGCGTTGAGGGGAAACCAAAGTTGGTACTTTATTATGGCAGGTGGATCAAAGTGATTGTAATTGAATTATGCGCACCGTGGAAACACAGACGCTCTGTCTGGGATGTCCGAGAAAAGAGGTACAAAATTTGTTAATACGCACTTTGCATTTCGGACCATCAGGACGGCCATGAGAGCTGAGGATCGAGCACCATTCGTGTACTTCAAGTGCAAAATATATTTTTGATGGCTTTGCCCGTAGCCTGACAGTGGTGGTATTATACATTTAACGACGACCGCAAAACATTGATTTTAGGAGACGCTATACCAAGCAGATTTTACGCACGTCCTTGTAAAGTAAGGCGCTGATAACGTGTTCGCTCACTGAACTAAGAAGCACAAGGGGACATAATTGAAATTCAAGATCGGACGTAGACGGACCACGCTTTGTTTCATGTTGGAAGCAGCCAGAAAGCTTACTGGCGAAACTGGACTTAAAACCGTTCTGTGCCGGTATGTGTAGCAATAGTGCCGTGTGTAGAGTTTAGGACAATCTAATGTATTTGTATTAACGTGGAGGTGGTTTCCATTTTTGTCGGTCATCAAATGGTATTCAAATGGCTCGTAAGAACAGCGAACGTTAATTGAGCAAGCTACTTGAATATTCGCAATTAGTAAAAGCTTGCGAAGACAAAAGACAAAGTGTTTTTGATCATCGTAGGTAGTTCAAAGCTTATGCAAAAGCGGTAATTTCTAACCCTAGCGTAGACCGTTAAACGGTACTTAAGCTAAATCGTACGATATTGGGCAATGCAACTTATCTTGCATCGTATTGGATGGGTACGTTGAATACGCAGAAGGGCCATGGGACTATATCGTGTCGTGTTAACGTCCGTCCAGTTGGTACGAGCTTGATTTCGTATCCCGCGGCGCAAGGACTTCTCTGCCACCAACTTGCAACTCCGTTCTTATAGTAAAGTAAATACAGCAAAGTAAATAATATGGTGAACGCGATAGAAAAGACTCATTATTTATATATAAAGGACTAAGTAGAGAACAGTTATACATCGCACACACTGATCCATATACTTTCAATAGCTGCTCAGATATTATACTATATATATATATTATATATATGCATTATAATCGACAAGCCAGCCATAAATTCAATTTAAAACTTTCAGGCTTTCAGATGATTGATTCACTCTGGTATAAGCATGAATCTTGTTTTTAAACCCGTAACCTCTAGATTAAAAACTTCATTGAAAAGTTCTTCATTTCTAACCAACTCTTTGATTCGTTGGGGATAAAAATTACATATTAAATACATTCGAAGCTTTTTGACCTTTTACTAGCGACCGTTGCAAGATCCTTGGCGTTTTAGATCACAATTAAACATCACATCTAACGTCAAACGAGCATCCATCGGTAACGTAACAAGCGCATTAGCTGAAATTTAGATTCTACGAAAAACTTGCTCCAGGGTCTTCAACAACATAACATCTTTTAGGGACCACATTATTTCGAATTACTAGATCCGAAACAAAAAAAAAACAGCGTAGCTATTCGCACGCAGGCGAAGTCTCCCCATCTGAAGCCACTTGAAAGCATACATTAATGCAGTACTGGATTTAAGTTTGAAGCATATATTTATATAACATAGTTACATACATACGATTCAACAATACATGCAACATTGCGATCTTCCTCGTTAACGAACGTTAATCTTCAGTTTACAATCTTCAGCGCACAACCTATGAACCGTAGCCCAGATAAGAGGTTTTTACGAAAAATTTAGATATAGTGCCACCCAGAAATATATGGCGCCACAGCGTACCTTAGCAGTTCCATATGGGACTTACGTACGTTAATAAAAATTACTATTATCCTACCATAGCAACATTCAGAACGTAACGAGCATTTATCTCTAAATGTCATAAACACTATTTCTGCTGTACGGATCTCGTTTGACAGCGAATATATTACCAGAATTTATTTGCACAATCTACGGATATATGGGCTATAGTGGTAACTTAAGACAAAGGAAATAAAGCATGCGTGATAATGACCACAAAATACGTAAGAGAACTATTAAAATTTGTAAAGATCAGGGTGACATTAGAGCGATTAGGAAAGAGACGATATCAGGATACCGAGCAAAAGTAGGCTAACAGTTAGATAAGGCTTAACATTTACATTTGAGAAAAATAGGTTTCTTTTCTTAGTTAAAAACAATAAGAATATGCTTACCATGGCAAAAGATGTGCCAAATATATTACTAGCCGAGAAAGTTTTTACCATTAAGAATAAACTGCATAGCTTGTCAGGCTCGTGTAAACTAAACCAGTAGCCGGTAAAGCTAATGAATATTCGGCAAAAAAATTATACAGTTGCCCCCAAAATCATTGTGAGCTCGCTAGGTGATTACAGTTCAGCCGTAACGTGTGCGATCTAACTGCTATTTGGTTACTTCACCTCTAGTTTACGCCTATGGTGGGCGGAACCCCGCAATCGGACTTGCGTGCAGTCTAAAATTGCACCCCTGTAGCTACACTACACAGACCAAATTATTACGAAAAACAGGTTTAGACATAGTTGATCATCACGATGAACCTTTGCCGGATCCGACACCTGCTACGGATCGTGTCCCAATTAAAAAACAAAATTTGTTTGCATCTGCTTAGCGGTACGGAAGTGAGTGTAAATGACTAAGTAAGCGCGTTGAATTGCGGCACGACAGATATCCGATAGATCCGGCCATTAAAGTGCCCCTGTGGGCCAATGTATACGTTAGCTCGTTGCTTGCGCTCTATCCATGACAAATACGACTTTTATACGTTTTATCAATGCTTTCTTATTTTCAGATGCTGCCTTGGAATCCGCTAATGCAGGGCTTGTGCGTGATTGTTGCCTTCACATTGGCGAATCCTCACATCGTGGACGCCAAGATCTACGATCGATGTGAACTCGCTCGAGAGCTTCACGATCGATTCAAGTTCAGCAAACGGGATCTTGATAAGTGTGAGACATACGCATCATTTGATGTCACCTAAGTTTTTGTCATATAAATGCAGCCCTGAGGTGTAACTTTAACAGTTTATAAATTATGGGCATATAAAGCGGATAGTGGCAAAATCTGTGAAAGCTTGCGCCAATTGCTGGATCTATTTATCTCTCTCTAGTCATCTCATTGTTATTACTCTATGATTTTTTTCTGTTTCACTCTCTGATTTCTTTCTTCTTCAATTGTTTTCAGGGCTGTGTCTGGCTTACTGGGAGAGCCGGTTCGATACACGGGCGTACCACAAGGGTCGTTTCGACGGCAGCGGAGATCATGGCATTTTTCAAATAAACGATAAATATTGGTGCCAGCCGTACGTCGGTTATTCGGAAAACGTCTGTAAGGTCCCCTGTTACAGTGAGTATCATAGCGATAGTCGTTTGAATCAACTAAAGCTAAATTATCGTTGTGTGTTACAAATACTTCTTCTCGAAGACTAGTCTGCTCCCTATTCCAATCTATTTTGCTAAGTTATAGCCACGAAAAGGTCGTGACGATCGCGTCAGTTTAATTTGACGTGAAAAAATAGGTCTGACCAAATTAAAGAAAAAAAAACACGTGTAGCTTTCCGCAAAAATATATACTTGATAAAAACATACATCATAGTTAGTTAATATATGTACGTTGTGTTATTTCATGTAAATTTAAAAAATAAAATCTAAACGCGTAACGTACTGTGAACTTCATACGATAGGTGTCCTACCATGCGTGTTGGGGAGCACCTTAAGCGCACACAATTAAAAATATGCGATTGTTATTACGTTCGCAATAACACGCTATGGCTATTAAAGTTGGTTATAGTTTAAAAAAGAAACGTCACAAATCGTTGACTTTCAGCTATAATATCAGAAACACCTAACGCGTACACTTTTTGCCAGATTCTTCGTTTGATTGTCGGGTCCCTTAAAGAGATAGAACTGCAGCGTTCATATAACCCATATAGAAACAAGATTTTTCGATGAAGGTCTTTCTGTATTCGAGCATAATTGCATGTTTAACGTAAGAAAAGTCGTAAGAAGAACTCGTATCTCACAAAGAGAAGCACCGTACTATCAACTGTTCCAAACGCAATTGACTTTTCTTAAATTTAGCAAATAAGAAGAACAGTTAGCTTATCCGTGCGTATATGAATACGTGTTTATTATGTTTGGTTTGTCGGTATCGAATGAGTTTTTCATTAAGATATCACTAAATTAAACCTTTTTGGTACAAAAACGTTGAAACATAGTATCTACCTGCTCGGCATGCTCCTAGGTCCATAAAACTTCAACTACTATTGCCATTGGTGGCAGTAAGACGTTACCGTTAAGAGAAGAAGCCTTCATAAGAATTATATTGCCTTACATTATAACTATTAGAGGCACCAGGGATTCCCTTCAGCGGTTTGTTCCGAATCGTTGATACACCGAATGTTCAGCCCCGGCTACCCTCGGGAAGGTGATCTCATTTTTGTTTACGTTTGTACTTTTCACTAGTGGCGACAGTTGCACAGTTTCGTTGCTTATCGACTCTTCGCTTGATCTGCACCCACAAGCGATAACGCGTAATGCACTCAGAACTCGCGATGAGGTTATCTACTAGCTGGGCATCTTTAGTAGCCCATTGTTTTGGCGTATTGCCACTGGGCCATTCCGTCTTCGCAATTTCTTTGATTTACATCGTGCCACGTGTAACTTATAACGACAACAACAACAGCAAGAAACCAGCATACAACTAAGGGACGTTATTTCGCTATTGAAAGGAATCTGTTATGGGTCTGCAAGTAGCTTCCTACCCCCCATCGATGCTTTCCGTACTTCGGGTAATATTCTCCTGAAGAAATACCTTGACGTTTCCTTGCAGATTTAGTGTGTCTACGAGGAGTTAAGCCAAGACCTGTACCTCACAGATAAGCAAAAGCTAACGAACTTCATTGCTCTTCAGGCAAATTTCCTTGAAAACGAGCCCAAGATAAAGGCTGTCTTGCTGGGCGATCGAAACACCTCAACTTAATGGAGATAAGAATTAGTTTTAAAAGCTGAGTGGTGGGCGTTAATCAGCTTGAAAAGCTGAAAGTCCTATTCAGCCTTCAAGGTTTTCAACCCACGCATAACCCTCAGCCTGTGCTAGTCTGAATGGAGTTTCTTACATTACTTAATTCTGTAGCTAAGCAGCATAGCTAACGTATGCTACACCACGTCTCTATTTGAAAGCATGGACATCAAAGGTTCTTGGAAAAATTCGCCTTCGTAAGTTTGCCAGTCAGCTAGCTATCAAGACTAGGTGCACTGGGCTTGGCCCTGAAAATAAAGTTCACTTAAGTTTTACGCCAATCCACTACGGTTAGATCTTACTATGTGTATGCATCGTAAGTAGCGATAGGCCCTCGCAAACAAAAAATGCAGTTAGGTTTATACATGTCTCAAATTTGCCACTCTTTTCGTTTTTCCTCTTTTTTTGCTAATATCGCAAAAAACTACAAGGTGTTCTCCCTAGAACGGTCGTACCTCATCGTTACTCCATCAGAGCCAGCACGGGCTATCCATGTCCCATTTCGTCACAAATTAAAGCCGAGCAAAACGCTTGCTTGGTTGATCATGGCGTGTTCCTATGTTGCAGCGCCACTTCGCATCAGTCCATGAAGTAGCGAGAACGAGGAGAATGCCTTTGACAACATGACCGACTATGAGTTTAGGTAATTGTCGGTTTACACCCAACTAACCGGTCGCGGATAGTTTGCGATGCTGCAAATATCAAGCTTAACTGAAAACGTTTGCACCTCGCTTCGCAAGCCCCCGCTAGGAATAATGCCGTACAGATGCATAATCGCTTCGAAATAATAAAAATAACTCATTTACAATATGTGTAAAAATTAAATATATATATATATACAATGATAAAAAGCAATGGAAAACCTCCATGTACAGGTAGCGAGGCCCAAAACTAACACGCACATCCCCAAGTCCTTTCGGCACTCGGGCGACTTTTCTGTTATAATTGACGACTTGTGGCAACATTTACATGCAAAAGCGAAGCATATTTTCAAGATATATTCAACTGTGGCTGGAAAACATGCAGCTATGTTCACTTGAACATACCCTGCCATCACACGTGGCCCTTAAATATTTCATGTTACTTACACTGAATAGTCTAAAAGTACTTCTTTATTTATTGCAATGTATAGTCGTTCTTTATTTTTGTTTTGTTTTTTTTTTTTTTACCATTGAAAGATTTCCTTTGCACCGTTCTTTGGCAGAATGGTATTTACCTTCAGATGAAAAGAACGTCCGAGACATCAATATAACACGAAGCGGCCGGAACTATTTACGTCAGTTCCGACACGAAAAACGCGATTAGTATTTTTTAGCCTGGAGTTGTAAGGGATCTTTGGAAGGCCCGCATTTAAGTTTGCCTACTTCTAATAGTTCCACGTTGATATTCATCGTTTACTAGTAGAAATAGTTATACATCGTTTCAGGCATGCGTCTTTGCGGGGATGTTTGTGCAGGACTACGACAGGTAACACCCGTGCGTATGCGGCTGTTACGAATACGCCTTAAATATGCCTATGGCTATTTTCCATTACCTGTTCCTGGACGCAATTAGTCGTCCGACATAATCGAAGCGTACCTACAGACTGATCAGATCCAAACCTTGTTCGAAGAGCTGACGATTGCGAACGCTCACGAAAACGAAAACCGTATCGTATTTTTGCATAAGTCTGGTTTAACTACGTGCTATCTTGTGCTTGAGTGCACATCTGCGACGAAACGACTCCATCGTAGCACTGAATTGGAAGAACAACTTCCTGTTTGCGTTTGCTTACAATAAAAGACCAAATTGTTATGGTAACGCAAACGGCACAACGGAAACCGTGGGCATCCAACCGCGTTGGTACCGATATACCTTGCTTTTTTAATTAAGAAAATCGATATCGCTAGTACTAGCTAACCTGTTAACCGTTTCTCCAGCCGACGCATATGACGAACAATATAATCGTCGGGTTCTATTCAGCTCGGCGCCGTCGGCAAATTTCGTAGCATCACGCAATTGGTTTCATTGACACAGACGCCTAGAGGGAAGGCACACTGATCAGAAAATTGTCAGGGGCGCATCCCGTAGAAACCTGACTATATCGAAAACTACATCTAGTAGTGAAAGTCACAGTTTCCGTTCGGAGAATTGCTATATTTTCCTGAAGCGGTTCGGCTTGTCGCGAAGATGTTTCTCTGCGACACGTTGGTTAGCTATGAAAAATCGCAACTACCATAACTATTGCCCTGTCTGCTAGTATCGAAAGCTTAGGCTATGTCGACAAAGACGTCACATGTCACTGCGCAGAGACATGAAATGAACCTTCACGGTGCGTACGATACACAGTCTGGTTCTTTTACCCAACGCATATAAGGCGCCCGTGTTTTCGGAGAACACATGGCCAAATAGCATTTTATGCTCGCGTTGCTTGGCCAATCTAATCTACTAGATCAGCTTTGTACGGTAAAATTTGTGGTTATTATAGTTCTAATACTAGCAGTAATAATTATGATAAACGTGGTGAAAAAGAAGGTTCGGATTTCTCGCGGGGTATAAACGAATTCGTTAATATGGTACAAACATTAAAAGTATTGACGTATCAATAAAGCATTTTGTATTCGATAATTTATTACACAAACATTTTTGTTTTTTTCGATTCGTTCTATTTACAGTGTTGCGAGATGATAATCTTGAAGACGACATTCAGTGCGTGAATAAAATTTTCCGAAGGCATGGATTCCACGCCTGGATGATGTTTACCCACAAGTGTTCCGGAAACACCCTCGAATTTTTCAACGGATGCGATATTAAAAGTCGGAAAGGAGCGTTACCTAGGTAACCGATATTTTGAGCTCATCAAACCAGTGAACATCATGTAACAAGTACTCCGTTTCAATACAATCAACCAGTCAAACTAGCCGTTCTTCTATAGATCACCAGCCAGCTGACTCTTTGATTATCAATCACAAGAAAAACCGGCAGGCTGTTTTGCGAAAACGTTAATTATCGCTGCGCCCCTTAACATATCCAACATATAACTAACGATTAATGTATCAGCTTTGGGACGTACCTTGTAAGGTAAACTTAGCACTTTCGAGCATCCATCGAACAGCGTATATCACATTTTCGTCATGCCTAAAATCATAGCCACGGTCGAACTTCTCGTACCCTAACTCGTGCATCTTGTGTGCCATCTGCATGCTATTTTCTTTTATCTGAATTTCAAATAAATACAAAAAGGTATGAGGCTGAAGCGTCGACCATGTCGCGAACTTACGTCCAACCGAATCGAAGCACGGCCGACGAAATGGAACCCAGTGCTTACAGCCATGAGCACAGTGAAGCATCTGGAGAGTCGATCCATAGTGTTGGCGGCGACTTCAGGTAGTTCCGAATACTTTTGCCAACCTCAAATATGGTAGATCACCGAAGACACATAGAGAGAAAGCAAGCTAGATAAACATACGTTCCCCTTATATGAGCCGTTCAAGCCCGAGCGAATCATCAACAAACATGACGCCTCATCATACGGCTGTCAAGTAAAATGTAGTCAAAAAAAAAAAGGGTAAACCCATCGGAATAGCCCTATTTGCAGATAGATAACGCCTGCCGTTGTTAACAGTAATTTGTTGAGTATTTTTATTTTATCATCATCTAATTAACTCTTTAACTATATCTTGACATGACTGTCTAAATGCGGTAGCAGAAAAATATAAAAATCTAATACAAATAATCCCGATATTGTGTGGCGTATAATTTAGTCAGATTCTGTTGCCTCGCATTGTGATAAAATTTTCCCGCAAGTGATTTATTTGCGCTGGACAAACAGCTAAACCTTTGATTCACTTCCTCATTTTTTGTCCTTATTCTTCGCACTCGGTATAGCCTATCAACAAGACCCTCCGCTAGTTCCGGGACCATGGCCACTTCCCTGGGTTATAGTCCGACAGCGATTGTGCAGTCGCCTACGGCCGGCGCTCTGTATCGACATGCCTCACAGGCCACTTTGCCTGATGCAGCTAGCCTACACTTGGCCAACCCGCGCATCGTAGGCGGGACTTCGGTCAATAGACAGAATCTCTTCCTTGGTATGAATTGATGTCTAGCGCAAGATAAATACTGCGACAACTCATCTGCTTCTATTGAATTAAATTTGTATTGAGAAAAATAGATTATGCTAGTTTAGAATAAATAATGTTTTATTCTTTGCAACGATTATTTCCTAGATAAGACTGTTTGACAACTTTATGTTGAACAGGGTGGAAGAAATGGCGAGCGCGAATACCGATTTGTGGGAAGGATTTTTCAACGAGGACTAAATTAGTCCAATTTCACGATAATCAATATGCCTTCTACAAAGCAACCTTTTTAAAATTATCGTCACGTTTCTTCTAATTGTACTGTCTGACAAATGCAAAAAAACAAAAAAAAAATTAGGAAACTCTTGGCATATCTAGTTAATCGGGGCCGTAAAAAGCTGCCCTATTTCCTATGCACAATAAGTCCATTTAAAATTCTAAACAGTCCTCTGTTATATATGGGAGATGCACTGTGTTATTAGATATATAAGGCTTTTGAGCTTTACGCAATATTGTGGAGTCATTACTTCGGATGGAAGTACCGATTATCTTTGGCCAGTTTTGAACTAGGACACTTTGCGTGTCCCTAAGTTTAATTGGCAAACGTGTTGCCTGAACAAGTGTCGAATATCTGATGAGCCTTCTTTGCCTGCTTTCCATTTTCACTGATCTACGATGAACAGTAAACGGTCGGGGAACCGTAATAGGACCTAACTTCGACATCACAGTTGAGAGAACATTCGGTTACGTCGGTAGCCTTAGCGTCTGTTCTTGAAGCTCGTAGGCACGCATATTACCATTGAGTCACTTGACTTTTTGAGACAACCTTGCAGTTAAATTATACCCACCGATATTCGACACGTCTTTCTGCTACGAGATGGGACAGATGCCCTGACAGATCGATAATATACTGGATGCTACAATAAGCATGGAAACAATCTTCGGCTGTTAGCGGCCTTTGAGCGTGGCTATTAGAAACGCGGCGAATTCAGTTGACGCCGTTTTAGATAAACGAAGAACGACAGGTTTATAAATGAGTTGCGTAAGACAGGCAAAAAGCAGTGGTTTATGTCGGAGCGGAATTGGTTCTGCATTTAAACTATTGAGAATAAGGGAAATAAGTTTCTGGATGAAAGGTTGTGCTCAGGATTTTGTTGGGTTTGAGGCCTGCGTGTGAATTCTCAATGTATCAACACCCGTTTCTAAAGTAAAGTCGTCTACCATTGTATTCTGTGGATGTCATTTAGAACGAGTTTCGTAACTTCTACCATTGTGATAATAATTGCAAAAATATTTAACCCGATAGTTACTATTTACTACCTGTCGGCGTGTAAGCAACGTCAATCCAGTTCACAAAAACGTCGATATATGAATTAATGCAGCTGTTGTACCTGCGAGTTTCTCGGTACTTTTGTATATCTCTTTTCCGTGTGTCTCGTTTTTTCTTTCTGTTATCAACAACATCTTCCTTCAACTTTTGATCACAGCCAATACGCAAGGCCTCGCATCGTCTTCGTTCGCATCGCCTTTGACCTCATCCGGATTGGGTCCACCTCTTAGCCTGGCCACGTCCGTATTCTTCAGCAATCCTGAGATGTCCCTTCTTTCCTCTCCCCAACTACTAACCCCTCAAGCCTCTGAGCTAACACCCTTCGTACATTCCCAGGCGGCCCTTCAGGCCACACCTGCCAAGGCCAAACCCGGCGTGATCCAGAGGCTGCAAGGTGCGTTGAGACCTTCGTTTAGGGTAAGGCCCATTCTATTGTTTAAAGGCCTAGGACGCAGCGGGCGACAGGTAGCGGATCACCACACGACGACGACCACACCAATCTATGGCTCATCTTATGGCCACTATACGAAAATGGTACCGCACGCCGCCGTAAGTAGCACACTGAGACAGTGACGGCGCGTGCATGATGAACGCCCGTAAGTTGGTAATGAGACGGGATGCAAAGTGTTGGTGTATACTGATTGACCTTCTGGACAACAGGCCAAAAGCGAGCTACCACCCGGTTTGTTGAGTCAACGTCGTGTTTGCTGTGGTGGGCTACGACGGTCCGATTATTTTCGATTGGCAATAATCTAAGAGTAGTGAATCGTAATGCAAGCGTATCAGCTATTACTGACTAATTTGATTTCTAAACATAATGTTTTTTCGTATAATTTAGTAGATAACAAAGTACGCAGAATTTGGTGTCTTGAATAGATGGCTTTTTATCCTGTAGATGTAACCTAATTCGCCACATAATGCTAACGCCAAACATTTAGCCTTAGGATAGAATTAGAGTAATTTTCGGTGTAAACACAAACAATGCGAAACGGGTGACAGCGAGCTTCCTGCTGCTAATCACGGTATCATTTTAGGATAGATTTAAAATTTAAGAAATTTTTGTTGGGTGTCATTTGCCTAAATCGTTGAAAATCAACCCAAAAAATTACGACGAGCAGATACTTCAAACAGGTTCTTAGCTAATGTCAGGCCATTTTACCGTTTGTTGACTTAATTTTTTTCAACGAAGTTTTTGTGAAGACCTCGCTAAGTGTTGTTCACAGAAGTGTTCAATTGCATTGGTGTGGTTGTCCGTTTATAACAATGACTGGCGCAAAAATAAAAAATGTTAATCGGCCCCCTGTTTTATGATGTACGTTCGTCACAACAACTCACGTCGGGTTTCTACACCTAAATGCTAACACCCACTCAGCGTCTTCGGGTCGGACAGCTTTTCAGAGTGTCGCCCGCAGCGCCTGATTTTACTTCTTTAGGCCAACAAGTCAGGCGGCCAAATTGCATTGGTAAACTTGTCCAGTTGGCAATTGATTGAGTCGAACCTTCCCAGTTAAATAACTGCTCATTATCGGCGACTCAGAGGAGTGTCCGCCTGTGTATGGTACTATTAACGTAAGTGGGAAGGAAAGCATCTTTCTTTCTTTCTTCGTCTCTTGGTCTTCGTTTCTTGGTCGATATTTTAGTATGATATGGTTAATATCGCCAATGTTGTCTTTTCTTACCCAGCAATGTGTGTGTACTTCCCTAAGTATTCCTGTCACCGAAATCATCCATGAATTTAACTAAGCATATATTAAACATGAAACGTCTGTATCACCATTTGGAAATACAGTACAATCAAACGAGTAACAAAAACAACCCGTTACAGCATACAATAACATAACGACTATACTGTTCGACACATATCAACCTACCTGTTCGTCGACTGTGATCTTAGGGAATGTAACTTAACTTAACTATACTTTCCCTAACCACTGGTAAAGGTCAATAGGTATTTTGGTGATGTCATTTGCCTGGATTTGTCTCCCTCTGTCGCCATATTCGTGTTTGTCTTACGTCGTTTCTTATCTCTAACTAACCCTCAAATACGATCAAGAAGAAAAATTTAATAAAACTGGCTTCAATGGGCAAAGTGGTAATGATAAACGGGAAAATGACTCATTAGACACCGCGGGCCTTTTCTCTCGTCCTAAAATAATGACTAATATTGTTGCTAGGATGCAAAGCTGTTGACTTTCCTCGGGCACCTTTTTGCAGGGCTCCTTTTGCTCTAATGGCAAGTTCTCGTTGCAACGAAGATCATATTAGTCTGCCTTGGCAAGATCGGTAACGAAAAACTGACAGATCAATGCCTACAAAGGAGACATACGTCGTTTGTATGTAATTCTTTCATGAGATGATGTATTTACAATTGCAGACGAGAAGTTGTGCCAGTTTCCCATGATTAACAAGATGATTCCCATGATTAATAAGAAAACGTTTTTTTAAAAGCCACATTGAAACGTTACCTTCACCTGTAAATTCCACAACGCACAGGTGGATTGACATGTACACGGCAGGGGTCTTCTACTAAGCATAAGATGTACAGTCTACTCACTCTCTAATCGACGAAAAATTTTTACAAGGAATGTATACTAATCCACCTATATAGTTTGTCAACTTCAACAACACCAATCAATCTTCATATTAGATGTACTCATAGTTTATTCATAACCGGCTTATATTGAAGTCGCCACTATGAAACAGTTCTTTGTTCTTGATAACTTTACACTTCACCCAATGTCTGCCTCACGGTTATCGATGCTTATCGTGATTAACCTCTGTTACGATCCGCACTAAACCCTCTCAAATGATGTAACATTTTTTGACGTCCGGCATTTTAAGAAGACCTAACCCTTTTAAACTATTTGAATTTTCCTTTCTTGGTTTTCATGCTTTAACTTGCCCTGTTCTGACCTTTCTATGCATATATATTTAAAAGCTATGCATGGGGCTATTCTCCAGGTGCCGTTCAGAACTTCAGGCCGCTCCGTCGTCCCCGCGGCGTCAGCGCCCAACTCCTTGTCACTGATGCCGGCCCCGATCATATCCGGCTACGGGGCACCAATACTTCTTCCGCTTAACCATCTGACGAGTAGAGGTTTGGGTGGGGCGGTTAATAAGCGTCACGGTGCCAGCGTCACAAAGAGGCCACACTCAGTGATCAGTCCTAACACACCGGTAAGATATCTAACATTAAGCGGTTAGAGTTCCACCTCGATCAGGAAATTTGGTGGTCATCCGAACCAAAAAGACATTTTGGCGTTATACTTTGCGCCAAGGGTTTGCCACAGCGTAATATCATGTAGTATCAACCTATGCATATATGTAGCTCAGACTGTTGCGACATTTTTTTTTTTAATTCAAAAGGGTTTTACCTGATTGCGATTTGTCATCGCAGAGTTTGCTCACCGGGCTAACGTAGTCTACAAAAAATTAACTGTCATATATATGTATATATACTTTGCTTTCAAAAGATCCGTGGCATGTTGAGCGCATGTGATTTTCTATGCGGTTTAAATATTCAGGGAGAACGCCCTTTTAAGCAAGAAAGGGTATTCTACATTTGTTTTGGTTTTTAACTAGGCCTTCGCCGCTGCCCATAAATTCAGCCCACTAGCCTGGGTTTTAAGCAGTATAGCCTCATAGTCTCCATAGTAATTAATCATTAGTCATTTGATTCATAGCAGCTCATAGTACTGCTTGTTTTGGTTCGCTTTTCTTGTGCGTGAACTCCGCTAATTTACAATTGCTACCTTTTCACGTGCAGCGATCCCTTGACCCGTTGATAGCGGCGTTGAACGCTCCGTTCCCATCAAGCGGAAGCAAACACAAAAAGTCGACTGCGAACCAGTCATCCGGATCCGAAGAAGACGAGGATGAAGAGGACAAGAAGAAAAAAAAGAAAAAGTAACAAAAAACACAAGTGTGGGACAAGACACCGAACAATGCTTCAAGAGGATTTCGAGGAGACAAGCGAAGTCAGGCCAAAATACAGGGCCGCGGCGTGTCCATCAAGGGAATCTGAATAACCTTTCAGCCAAAACAGAAATGTCCGTCTAACTACAATTTCACCTGGTATTGATGTCGACGCTGATTTCTCACGCGAATTTTTACAATAAATAATAACTACTAGACACAAAAAAGATCACATGGGTGTAGATACATCAATCGAGGCAGCAGTATTTGTTTGCCACTATCTATTCTGCACACACATCGCTGATGATACTGTGAATGTGTTGATGTTTAAGGGGTGGGGTAATCGGTGCTATATACCGTGACAGGCTCGAGTCATTTTTGTTCCCGAAATACGTCGAACCGAAAAAATCAATTAATTGTGTATTTATTTAACATCGACGAATACACACCTACATGAAGGAAATTTTCACACAGTAGGAATATTCACGGTTTGACAGCCGTGTAGGTTTCGATCATGAGACCATTGAAATTTATAATACGCGAAATCTAACAAAACCTAAAACAGATGCACCTATTTTCAAGTACCAATTTCAATGCTGTATATCTGTATCTCTTCTGGAACAGGACGAGGTTCAATATATGAACGCAGGCCGGGTTTAGTGTCTAGGAGAGACATCTAAACATCGGAGTTGTTTTGTTTTGTCTGCGAATTAAAAGCTATTTTAGCTGAAAACTCAAAGGGCACAACCGGCAATCGACTTATTTGCATTGCCTTATCATCATGGGACTAAAAATTTTCAACACTTAGCCGAAGACAGTATTACATTCTGGAACGAGTAAATACCGATCACTGAAATTATTAGTATATCAACTATAACAATGATGATGATGATCATGAAGACCAAATGTGGGTTAATTGAGTCTCTTGATATTGTCGTTTGTTGAGCGTTCGTAACAAGCTGCCTTGCTACCCTTAAATGCTGCGGAACAATCTGATAATGATTATGTTGGTTCTCTAATGGTTTTCATATTGAGTTATTTATTCATGTGTGAGCAATCCTCTGATAACTACATGTCGAAACAATGGCGATGATGACAACATTAGCACCATTATCAAGTCGATAATGGTGCTAGTAATAATAATCGAAGGCCATTATGAAGGTGTAATGTATGAAGCGCCGTACTGGTTATGGTGAGATACAAGGACAATACGCCGGTCGTATTGCCTCTCTGTACATAGTAAGCTTAACTAGGGTTCTCCAATAAAAAAAAAAGTGCTGATAAAAGAACCATATTAAAAAGATAACCTTATTTAGTAAATCAGCATATATAACGGTGTAACGGTGCAACAATGTAATGATTTTTCTCAAATTTTGCCACCAAATAGTGATCAACTGTTAGTTGACTCCGTGAATGCTGTTAATAACAATAGTTACGAATGCGATCGAGGCAGTTGCATACGTTTTTTTTTGTCTATGTGTTAGTGATTCCGCTCACAGTTGGTCTAGCTTAACTTCGACACACCCCTTATACTACGTTACTGGAAGGGTCAGTTCTGCTGATAGTGTAACTTCAGTGTATTTAGCAAAGTCAGCCACTTAATGAGAGCTGCATCTCAGCTAAGTAGAATGACTTCTTTTCTATGCCGTCAATGGCAAAAGTTGTAGTCATATAAGTTATTTTTGATAAATAAGTCTTTTGCTAAATATAATCCCAGCTATTGCTCTCGGTGAAATATATTCATCATACCAACTGCATGTGTGAGATGTCCTCTAGACTATTACTACTACTGTGTAGTTCATGGGACATTGTTGGGACGATAAGTTGTACTATGTTAAATCAAACGAAAAACGCTACATGCATGGTGAAGCAAAAGCATATATATATATATATATATATTTTAAGGCCACCTTCTTATTCCGTGTAAAGAGAAAGCTTTTATCGGTGTTCATGTAGGTAGCACTACGCACGAACCAAAAATTAGCGCTGCGGTGGTCTTTTTTTGTAACGTCAGCGAACTGATTTGATTTCCTGCCTCCTGTCAAGTAATCATTGACTGATCTTTTGGACCTAGTAGGCGCGAAAATGCCTGATATCGTCGATCGTTCTTTTATTACATTACGTGTACAGGGACAGCGTACATCACTGAAGATAGATTCCAATTCCTTAGATATGTATAACAAATTATTCGGTATAATTTTTTTGCAGACAACTATTACTGATTTATCAACGGTATTACTGATTTATCAATTTTATTTGGTAGTGGTCCTTCGTCCTGTGTGGATGCACCATTTCATGTAACATGTAGTGTACTAACGCCCTGATGCTGGGCCTAATTCCCTCGTCGACTCCGCTTTGTCGCCAGAGAAAACTGGTAATTTGGAATTGAAAATCACATACGACGTTTCCTAAGCAGGACAAAGTGTTCTTCCACTAGCATAAGTCAAATCTGCTTAAAGTATACAGATAAGATGAAAACTGCTCTGCTGAAACCCGCCATTTTTCGATTGTGTTGCTCAGATCAAAAAAATTACGGTTAATAACCACTATTTATACATAAAATTTATAAATAATACATACACATATTTCTCACTGGGAATTATAAAAAGCGATTATGTAGAAGTGAGATCACGGACGGGAATTAAATTACATACCTCCCATAAACTCATACTAAATATGTCTAAAATTGCATTTAAAGTAACCAATAAGAAGCCTTAATTCTAGTAAAGATTATTCGTTCGCGGGCTAAAAATAACTCGAAGGACTTAAGGGCTAAACGGCCAAACAATACTCTCGGTTGGGTTACCATCAGGTGTGCATCATTATGCAAGTTGAGAAGCAGGTACATTCTGCCCATTTCAATATCCAACGAAGTCCTTCGAGTAGAACGATGTCCGGACCACCTATGGCCACCAATGGCCCATGCGATTTGTCGCGAGCAGGTTATAAATACAATAAACCAAAAAATAAAAGTACTAAGTCGTTGAACATTGACAGATTGCGATGTGCGAAATGTTCTAAACTTGTTAGTAGCAAGCGACGCAGGATTACTTCTAGGGAAAGGTGTGAATTATTATGGATGTGTCGTCAGTTATGAAGTGATACGCTGGTTAAAGCCTCACGTTCACCTGGATAGTACCTGGAAAAGAAGCTCAATGTTCGTAAGTGGGATCTACAGATTAAATTCTTAGAAAAGGAAGCGACTATGGAAAAGCTTTCGTCTTTGGCTTGACAAAATACAAGTTCTGAGCGGTTTTCTTACCGAATTTGCGGCGCACCCTAACTTCCGTATTGACAATTTTTTCGGACTCACCTGATGGACCGCCTATGAGGCAGGCAACTCTTCAAATGGAACAAATTTCAGACCTTTATGTACCATAGAGTTTCACTCTTCATGCAGACGGGTGTGGTATAGCTTATAGTACTTTATTATAGCTCTAAACGAATTATGAAAACACTCGTTTTCATGATATACGCCCAAAATACAGTGTTAAAACTTATGAAAACATTCGGTGTCCTAATAAATCTTTGTTGGTAGACGCACTCTACTTTTCCTAGCGTGGCCTTAGTAGTAGTAGTAGTAGTAGTTGTTTCCATTATTTCATTCAAGCGAATCCCAGAACTTTATACCGCGATCGAAAATAGTCGAATTTACTCGTAACTAACCCGATGACAAGTAGCTGATCAAAACTACCCTGAAACTTTTTGTAGTAGAACTAATTAATAATGAACCAGATTGAGACAGAACAAGTAGAGTCAATGGTTTTATTCTGAAAAGAGCGATCGATACATTATTATATAGCACTACATCTATTTCGAAGCTTAAAGTTAGCGGAAGCTCCCGGATCTCTAGAAAAAAATCCATTTTGCCACACGCGCTTCGATACTCTCTGAATCCGTCCGTCATTCGTCGTATAAATCAGAGAAATTTGACAAAACATTTTCTATTGCATTCATTATGCCCTTGACAGTCTACAGGCCGCTTCAGCATTGCAACACTTTTGGCCAGAGGCAGCAGAAATTAATCAGAATTCTTATACAGCTAAAAACTGAATACGACGTAAGGCCATCAGGTAATGATTCATCGACCACAACTATACATGGATTACATAACGATTACTCTAATCAACCTTTCTCTTTCTATTGTCTAGAATCACGATTGATAATAGGACGTAATGAATTTACTAGAAAAACAAATATTTCAGTCATTCCCAAGCTTGTTTTGAATATCGTCTCTGTATAATAGAGTTCGTACCTGTTTTTCCTTAAATAGTAATCTAAATCAGTTTATTACATCCTTCTCTAAATGAAAGCTTGAATGTATTATCACACAGTCATTTTCATGATATCTCTTTGTAATGAATGAACTATGACTACTTTCAGATTGTGGATGAAAGCCTGCTTCCAGCATAGATGATATATTGGATGGATGGAAAGAATTTAGCAGAACGTAAAAATTCCCGCTACTGCTAACCGTGCACCGATAATAAAAACGTTGCGTGTCGACGTCACGCACATGATTCGGCGTGACGCACATACAGATGCTTTTTCCTGCGCTCAAATGGATAGTATAGATTAACCTAAAGTTGGCTTGACATGCTGTTCTCTACGGTCTATTTTCTTCTTATTTTCCTTAACTACTCCTCAGCGATACCTTTAGTAGAAGTATCCAAATACGAAGAGGCTTGCACTACGCTAGAAAAATACCTAGCACGACTATTGCGCTACAATTCACTGGTGGCATTTTTTAATCGCGGTGAAACTTTAATGAAATCGTGAATAAAATAAATTAAAATGTCGTACGCAGATGCCAACTTTGGATTAACTGTTCGCAAACTATATATGATAAAGAAAACGACTGGGGGTGCGCAGGTGCACTTCCTTGCCTGCCTGTACTAACCAGCGTCGCACAAATTTATTATAAAATACATCATTGAGGATAAGTTCTAAGCAAGCACAAAACATACGATCTGAAGAAGCCGTTCGATTCATCATTAGCAAAAATTCTATGGTGAATATATTATGTTCAATCTGTAGTGATCAAATGTACCGTAAAGGAGAAGAAAAAATAGAGCTATCAAAATATCTTTTTTTAATAAATATTATGTACAGCAGTGTACTTCCATTGTGTTGAAATATTCCGCCGGCTTCAAAGACTTTTCACAATAATATCACGTATATGTTTCGCTGAGTGTATTTGAGGCGCTCATAGTCGTATCGAAAAAGGTCGAAAATTCCAGTGATTCTAGAAATATTCGCAAGTTTTTTTTTTGCAAAATGGTCACCCTAACGTAATAGATAAATAAACGATTAACATATATTTTGTTATGCAACTTAGTATTTATTAACCTATAAATACACGTATCATTGGCAAATAAAAAAATCGCAGCCAAAGGATGTTGAAACAACAAAATATCAATAGCTGCTGTGAAGTCGCGATTCTCTTCCGTAGAAACATTGCGATTACGTTGATCATCATGACTTCAAGACTCGGCACGTAGTGCAGGCGCACTATTCGGGCAAAACTTTAAAAACTCGATGATGAGTACTTCAGCAAAGAAAGAACATTCTTGAAATTAACTTCCTCCTTTTAACTCGTATTCTTTTTACACTAAGCGACTCGAAGGCTCCATCGAAAAAATCAACGACAGTGCGTAAAATATCCCGAATCAAGAAAAATAAACAATTTGGGAGACGCTATAATTACACTGAGTACTCTGTTACACGACTGTTAGTTAGTTTTAATATATCCGTCATCCGTATTATGAAATGTTTTTAAAAACATTTGTTTTTTGACATGTTTTTTCTTTAGTAAAAAGTTGTCACACTTCCATCCGACCCTGCTCTGGCCACAATGGTTTTAGACCCACATGGTACATAGTCGACGACCCACATGGTACATAGTCGACTACAAAAGAGAACTTCGACAGATCTGAATATTCTATCACAGAATAAATCCAATTATTTTAGTGTAAACTTTTCTAGTGAAGATTTAATTCTTAGGTAGCTTTCAACTTAAACTAAGCTGTTACACCTCCGTCCGGAGCTAACTCTTATTAAATTAAAACGCATTCTTATCGAGCTTTAGAGCCTTCGAATACATGAAAGACTATGCGTTAATAATGTAGACTACGGCATAATGAAAACAACAGTAGAGTGAAATGTCCTATCTTTCTGATCGCGACCAGTCATCAAGAGACTTATGCCCATTATGAGCTCACTATAGAGCTCACTGTAGAGAGGTAAAGCAACACCAGTAGCAAAGAACCATTACCATTAGATAGCATTTTGATATGTAATTTTTTTGCTGAGTCGGATAGAGGGCGCTGGCATCGACAGAGCATACATACGTTACAAACGCCTTGCCGAGGTCTTGGACCTCAAACAGCGATCGAGACGTTTCAGCGAGAACTTGGACCTGCTGCATTTTTTCCATCAAGATTTCACATTGTTTTGACAAAAAATTACATTTATGGACGGTAATTAGCGTGGATAGGTTAATGTTAGTAGCGAACGGTCATCTCAATAGCTACCTTAACAGTGAAATGTAAAAACTCCTAAAAAATATTTACAGTCTGAATTACTATAGCTTAAATCTTTATTTACATCTAGTTCACACTTTAATTTTAAAATAATCTACTTAAGATGTACAACCCTTCCTTTTGCTGTGGGCGCTCACATTTATTACCGTTCCAGTCAACACATTGCTGATAACAGTGAACTATTATTTCACAAGCGTCAACATACAATTTATTTGATGTTATAGTGCATTGGTGCTTGATGGTGGCTTATACGTTGATGTACCATGGTCGGTGTTCTGGCGCAGGCTTTATTTTTCTGTTAACGTCAAGTTTTGTAAACATGCAAGGTATACTATGGAACCCCTTCGTCTAATCCAACAGTATACATCGCAATGATAAGATGCAAATGCTCTTGTTGGTAATAAGAGGGGTTGCCAGCCTCACCGAACCCCTACTAAATGCGTGACAAAACAGATTCTTGCAGTAACTGACACAAGCCATTGTATTTTCAATTAAATTACAGCACACACATTCTTTTGGGGCATCTTGTCTTTTCTCGTACATTGTGAATTCTATATATTATAAAATTGTTTACATTACATATCTGTATTTAGCTAGATACTGAAAGGATACATTCAGCTGGAACTTCTGTTGTGTTACGCCTTTCATACTTTTATATACAGTATAGTTTTTATCTACATAAAATAAAAAAATAAGCATTGCCATCTTGTTCAGGCGATCATTATCAATGATCGTCTGAACAAGATGGCCATGCTTATTCTTGACTGGACGAGTAGTTCGATTCCCCAGTGGAAATACGCGATGCACATAAAAGGATAAAAATTATAGATAGTCCTTTGAATAAATTCGAATCCGATGTATCGCCTACTACTCAAATCAGTTCAGGCGACGGCATCATTTAGGGACGCAGATATATATATCTATACATATGGAGTAGTTATGACCAGGCCTACCAATACTACTACCAATTCTACTAGCAGTCTATATACTCATGCCGGCAATATATCTAGTTTATCTAGCAGAGCCCAAAAAAAAAAAAAGCAGAAACCATAATACGACCGACAATAGAGTCTTTGAATGTGTTAGTATGACGACGATAAAAAAGAAAGCGGGAATGAATACTAATGTGATGGTTAATAACCGGTACTCGGCGAGACCAGATTGTTCCGATAGCTCCAAATTAAACCGACTTGGCAAACCATACCTTTTACAGATCGGCCAATTCTTAATTAGTCATTGTATTGAAACATTATATAATGTAAAATTCAATTACGAATATAGAAAATAAACCTATTGAAAAGAGGTCCCATAGATACGTAAAATGATTTATGCAGGTGCTATGTTTTTAGTGAAAAATCGTTCCTCAAAGAAATACACTCAAAACGACAGCTTTATATATTACTCAAACGTTTTTTTGGTTTTATTAAATTAAGCCCCCTATACGAAAAGTAATTATTGTATGCAACTACTGATATATACAAGCTAAACGGGGGTAACATATGTACACAAACCCACTTGTAAGAGTTTAAAAGCCGCTAAAAAAAAGATCTCTATAGACTTTCTCACGGTCGAAAGCTCCTACCAGAAGAATGAAGGATCTCGATGGTACGCCATTCCAGTTAGGACTTAAGCTTGGCCGTCTTTTTCTTAAAATCGATGATGAGGCCTTCCAGTCCATCGAATCGTCGTAGATAGCGCAGAATTGTTTCTCCGTCACAATCAAGAAACTCTTTTCCCAAGCAGACAAAAGCTCGAAGGTCTCTGAAATAGGATTATGAATTTATTTAACTCCCACGCACACAAGTGCTATGCTCAGCACAAGCACAACGATTTGCCTCTAAATTAAAAATTAAAAATAGAATCATAGAACAAATAGAGCATACGTACTTCGATTAAAATCTCAACTCCATTAATTAATTATCCTCTGCATTGTTTGTAGCAATAAGTTGGAACGGGATGTTAGTTAATATATGAAACTAATATCCCGTTCCAATTAACAAATAAAACTTCATCAACCAGTAGTAACTCGCCGCATTTTGCGCTAAACCTTTAAGTAACGATGCCAGAACAAAGGTAGACAAAACACATACCGTCCATGCCGCGGATGCATCATCACCAGGAACGAATTAGGTTTGAAGCCAACGAGGTATTCGCCTGAGGCTGGATTCCGCTGGAAGCGGAAGAAATTCGTCGAGTTTACTCGTTGAAGAGGTACAACAATGATCGGGTCCTCATTTTCATCGTCTGACACCTCGTGGGATGTCACCTGAAAGGCCAGTGCAGTATAATGAACGGTGCGGTCAGTGATAGAGAATTCATCCATCCACAAAATCTTTTTCTTAGGAGTTACAACTTTGAGGGAAAACGTCGACTGGACCCGACGGGTCATATAAAGGCAAAGGGGTTGCATACTAAAGCAGAACCCGCGCTTATAATGAGCTGTTACTTTAATTTCTTTATTATTGAATTTCACAATCTTCCCGCTCACAAGAATCACGTAGATATAATCAGCAAACTTGACCACGGTGTGTAGCGACATTGCTATATACGTAGTCGTGTGTTACTCCAGACAAATCAGCAAAAAATGTATGTAATTAGTAGTAACGTAGACGCGGAACTCTAGTTAATCATAGTCAGCCGACCATGGGCATCGAACACCTCAATTCTACATAATATGAATGCTCATTACTTTGTCGCACATGCGTTCATATATATATATATATATATATATATATATATATATACATATATATGTATATATGTAGCATAGAAAACTCTAAATGAATGAATAAATGTTTGTCTCGCCTAACCTTTTTCGAACACTATTAATAATAAAGTAGGTAATTTGCGCAGACCATTAAGTATTGAGTTCAACGAAAGTCTAACGCTGTAGTACTTTTATAAATCAAGATAAAAATACTCTAAAATAACCTGAAAATACAAAACAAAATTTGAGCCCAAACACCGGGGGACTACCTTGATAATATCATCCTCGACGAGGGCGTAACTATCCCGCGTGACCTCGTAGTTGAGTTCTCCGTCGAGGAAGTTCAGCTCCATGCTGACGCCCTGAATACATAGTATCTTTTTTATATTCTTATGTCAGGCCGGCGGCGTACGAAATTGTCTTTCTTTGGAAACACTTAATAATAACACAGCTTAACACTCGTAGATAGCACTAGTACTCTCTCACAATTATAGTTGTAATCGTCTCATTCTGTTGATAACGTAAACGAGTTGACCTGGATTTTAGGTTAAGTCATAATTCATTGGTACAGTAATTCATAGAACCTATGATAGATCCAAAGGCTCAAGTCAACATCATCACAAGGGCAAACTACTACGCTAAGAACTCCGCAAAAAGCTTTTAACATACCTGGAAGCCATCAAGTGCTTTCATCTCGAATTCGTCATAGCCTGTGATTGACGGTGGCAAATCGTCCGTTTCGACTTTCCGGTAATGCTGATCCATAATAGGCTTGGCGAAAGCAAGACACACTCCTATGCTAAGACAGATAAACAGATCAATAGACAGCTCAATCGGGCGGATTGAGCGCCGCCAACTGTATAAAGCTAGTTCCTGTTTCATAGAATCAAACTTCGAAAACTCGACAACTAGATTTCCGAGTTTCCCGAATGAACCGGATGAGAACTGGATCTCGCAGAAGATCCAAGCTTTCGTTGAAAATTTACACTCCCTGGTGGCGAGACGTCCTCAACGACACTCCAAAAGATTCGGCAGGCAATAGGCCAATACGTCGCGCAGTACAAGCTCACCCAGTCCATGCACTCCTTTCATAGCAAATGATAAAAGGACGCAATATTTATCACACCTCTTCTTGCATCACTTGTCGAAGTCGGCAATATAACAATGACGGAATATGGGGTGCAAGCGTCACTTCGTCACTCAGCAAATTTCGTCTAAATCACTCTTCGACGAACGGAGCTACCGCAACGTGTTTGGGTCGCCTGAATTCATAGCTTTATTTCTTAGCAGATGCTGTCACATTGACAGGAATGCCCAGTTTCTACCATATATCCCGAAACGTAAAGCCGGCACTGACTGACCCAGCAAGGACCGGGCTACTGTCGCTTGCCTGATGCTACTCACCAACAACGTCCTTACTGACACTGCCTTAGGTCGCTTCTAACACTGCCAGCGTATTCATGTGAAAAATTTCGTGTTGTCTGGTCTATCTGACCCTATTGTACGGAACCGCTCTACGTGAACTGGTGTGTCGTCTATGGGTGCCCGTCGCCGTCGAAGACAGGCTGCGCTGCAGGAGTAGTCGACACCGTTCAAGGCGCCTGATATATCTACAGCCGCAACTATCCCTGGGCGTTGGACGACTCTTGGATATTAGCGCTGATAAATGATTGATTTTGCAGCTTCGATTCTTGACAAACTCAACCCCGTCGTTGCCAAACTCCGCTGTCATCCTGTCAACTCGAGGCCACAACGAATCCCACACGTCGTTCGTTGAGCAAACATATAATCTACCTCCAACAACACTAAAAGTACATCGAGACACAAAAATTAACACAAGAGAGAACGAAATATCAGTACTTCATCACTGTTCTAACAGTGAAGCCCCTAGGTGAATTTTTAGGCACATCGATCATATTAATAGACAACCGCGATTATACGAATGGGTTTCTGTATTCTGTGAAGCACGCGCAAGTCGAATCCGTTAATACTACGAAGATTCAGTGAGAAAAAAGGATGGCAGGCAACGCTATTCACGTTACGGTTTGGAGGGAAGGCGCTTTCCTAGAGAATCTGCGGGCTACAGATGTAGTGACGGCTTAAAACATGGCACGAGCACACATGTTTCTGCGGTAATCTAAAGTAATGCCCAATGCCAGTGGAACCAGACATAAGACTCGAACCATTTATATGTTAGGTTAGCGGTGATAGCCTCCTGCGTATGTAGACTGGTCATAGCCTTGCGATGACGATGCTGATACGTATTTCTAAGTTTGAACGACTAATGTTATGTTATTTAGATAGATTCATTTCGACACGTTTGTGCCTAAAATAACGGCATGACTGCAGACAAGCGTTCTGGAGATTAAATCATTGGAATTATTCTGCCAATGGAAGGGTCAGAAAAAGTTGCGTAATGTTATGTGCTCTTAGCAAGCTGCGGAACACCGAAGAACTACTGGATTGCCAATGACTGATTTCGCAACGGATTTAGTAACTATTCAACTGAACGTGTCTGTTGGTTATACTTGGGACCTGATAGTCTATGAAGAGCATCCGTCACTAAACATACCAGCATATACCAGGGATTCGACCAGCTATCGTCACGAAGTTTATTCTTAAAAGTACGGTGTATAAGCTCTCAATGGAATAATATCGATACTGCTACCGCCCACAGGGTGTTGTGCAGTGAGCCTTCTGCTCAAACAGAAAACGATCATGAAAATTTCACATTGGGCAGAACACCTGCCATCGACCTTTCCCGAACGTCAATGGAAACACGCGAGTCGAGTCCTATAGAGCAAATAAATAACAAAGATTTAAGTGTTGTCAGGTGTTTCGCAGTTGTTCTCCCGGCTTTTGTCAGCAGCTCTGTGAATCGACCCGTACGTCGTATAAGGTTAGAACCTTGCTTGGCCATGGTTGTTTATGTCGAAATAATATTTTAAACGTTCCCGCCGTTTCTCGATGTAGCATTTTCGAATACACCCGCTGTTAGACCCTTCTCTAGGTTTTTGTTACTGTAATCTTTGGAAAATTGAAATCCAAGCGTCCGTCGGCTTTAGGTTCGTCTTCCTATAGCTTCGTGTACTCGTTTGAAACCAAATATTGCGACAGACAATAGAAGGCTTTTTTTTTCGGCAAGCATTTTTTTTTGAGAATTACACTAAACGTTTCAAGTTTTACGTCTGGTATCGTCGTTAGACATTTCACTGACAGCTGGGTTCCGGTATGAAAGGAACTGTGCCGGCGCCTGTATTCGAGCCCCGACTAGCATGAGGGCTTAACTTCTACCGTAGAAGTTCAGCCCTCATGCTAGTTCTACCGTAGAACTTCTACTGAAAGTCTACGGATAGTAATGCCCATCGAAAATCACAGACAGTTCTAACCGAGTTGTCATGTGTCCTGCAAAACGTTCTACAACGAGACCGACCATAAAAATAGTTACGTGTTTTTCTTTGAAAGAACAATATGTAAAACAAAAAAAGCTTCGAAATAGAGCTAGTATTTGCTCAAGGTTGTTTATTTGATTCGCCAAATGACGGACAGATGCCCGACCATCGCGACACTCGAGCGATAGAAGTTGTATTATGTCGTATGTCGTTAAGGGCTAAACAACGCCTAGATGATGGATACATTCAAAAATAGAAACATTTAATACCGCATATTAGCATATTGAACAATTTGTTTTTTGCCGTGAAAGATCAACTTCTCATAGGTGTTCCTAACGAGTTCGAAAACGCAAGAGATATTTTGATGGTCACTCATCTTGGCTCAAAAGTTGCGCTTCATACGATCTTATCTTTTATGCCAGCAAATGTTTATAGCCTTCATATCCAATTTGGTGTTGATTAGCTCTCTGATTCCGTAGTTTTTTGTTAAATTTTTGCCGCACTTTCGTATTGATATCATATACGTATAGGTAAACACCTGCTTACTACCGAAAAGCATGTTTTTCATTTTTTTTTAAAAATACACGAGTTATAGGAACACAGTTAGGAGTATTCACTAATTACTATCGACCAGAGGTAGGCGCTCAAAGAGTTATGTTATTCTAGGTATTATGATTGTATTAGTTAGCTTATTCTAGGCAGGCTTGTCCCGTAATAGGGTGTTATTAACAGTGATCTAACAAAATGAGTTGTAATGCATGGTACCTTAAATGTTTGTTAGGCTGTATTGAATTAGCTGGAGTCAATCTGCTTTATTTGTTACACCATAAGTTCATAAGGTCAAATGTGGGCGATTCAATTACGAAATGTTGTCACCCCTATTCTTAACTGGCGAACTGCTGGAGATATCGCCCCACAGGGCTGAACCTGTACGTGGGCTAGTCTACATATATATATATATATGTATATATATATAGTAATTATATAAAACGAACGTGAATATGTCATGGCCATAAATGACGCGTGAAAATAGTATACTAATTGCAACTTAATGCGAGTACGGTACTGAGCCTAGATATGTCGCGAACCGAGAAACGATCGCCTACACGAAAACAGGAACATCGATGGTTCGACGATTTATCAATACGATGAACGCGATATGAACAAACGCCAGTGAGTATTGTTTTCTCCAAGCAGTTGATGTTAGATTTCCACATATTGAAACTGTAGTAGCAAGAATTTTTAATTCATTGAAATGGCTAGTCCACATCAGTCACCTCATCATCTACTCTAGTTCTTCTTATGTATAACTAGTATCATTTTTTTGCAGCTTTTCTTTTGCCTCCGGCTTGGGACAACGCTACGGACCCACAATTCTACGCATGAACAATAAACATCAACGTATGATGATATCTGTATTGAACTAATGAGTTTACTGTATACTCCCGAGGCAAGTTTATGGGCTAAACTCTATGAGTGTCAGCTAAAAAAGCTTTGTGCTAGGTCGCCGCTGTCAACAACAGTCGAATCATCTTACTTCGATGAGCCACAACATGGCAGGTTTAAAGATCAATATACAATCCGTTATACAATTATTGTTTTGCTTGGCGATTCATTTACTGCTATTCGGATGAACCTGGCGGCCGGCGTGGTACGGTTACTACAGAATATATATGACAATGCATCTGTTTTATTTCAGATCGTTATTGTCCTGTCAATCCGTGCACTTTCATTCACTTGCTATTCATTACCGCCTGAAGGAATAGCATGCCCAAAGACCCGAAGAAACACGCATGCGCTGTTAGGGTGAGCGTCATCTGGCAAGTATTCGTATCGACTATGATCTGACTACGCGTTGCTTAGGCCTATTTTGCTATCCAACAAACGCAGTGAGTCGACTGACTGCTGATTACCTTCCCAGCTCTGGCTCAATAAAACCAGATGTACTTGTTAACGTTGTCTTCCTATCGGCTGTATCCGAATCGGTGTAGCTGCGGTCAATGCCAAACATGACATCTCAACAATGACCCCTTCACGAATCATTCTGCGGGGTATTACTCAGCCTTACCTCTAGTACAAAACAAGACCTAGGATCTATTAGTACACGGCTGTATGGTTCCATATATTTTGTACGTAAACGAAATCCAAATTTTTTTGAATTGGGTTTTGCTGGCATTGTGTCAGTCGGTTAATACCCAGCACTAAACTGAATGTATTTATGGCCGGTTTTGATCCTAGACCATCTCACATATTGTCAAGCTTAGTTGGCAACTAAGCTATCACTGCAATCATGGGATCATGTAACCTGAAAACGATCTCTAAAGAAAATAGGTTTTCCTGGACTTGATGATTTACTTGTATGCTTTATACTGAACTTACCTACTTTTGAATCGATATCTCGTCACAGTATGCCGATATCATTACATTTTCTAATTTCTGATTAAATAAGATGGCGAACGAGACAAACAAATGATTTTTTTAAGCTGTCAAGCTTAAAAAGGATAACGGAAGTGTTTGCAAAGCTTACGGATCGAGAATCGAGCGCCGGTCATTTACACTCCCTGGATATTGGCCTGTGGCAAACGAAGAGGCAAGGGATACCATTTGGCTGACACTTAACCATCTAAACCGGTGGCATATTAGAGAAGATAGCTTGAAGCAAGCTCGTACTACAAAAATTCCGCTTGTTCCTACTGGCTTTTTTGCGCGTCTTCTGCTTTAACACAATCAACTAAACCGTGGCAAACAACGAATCGACAACAAAATTCTGGCCTCTTCTAACTCACCAGCTGATGGGGCCCTGCTGGCCTCATCAAGCCTGATGATGACGATGCCGTATTGCGCGAAGGCGGCTCGTCTAGAACACTGCTCATCAAATGACTCAATCCCATTTGTACTAAGTTGTGCTGATTGCCGCCTTAGGCGCGGTAGAGGAGCATGGCAACGGCAAAATGAAAATTAAAAAAGTAAAAAACAGAACGCGGGAGAATGAAAACGACCAGGCTGTAGGAAACGAATTTTGTTTTCGGGTCAGAGAGTTTTTTGAGAAGATGTGTACGGCTAATTTGAAATTATGTCTTCAACCTTCTCTCGACTTCTGAAGCAGTGGGTACGAAAAAGGGAATTGTCGGCTGAAGGTTTTGGCCGTTGCGAAAAAACAATAATAGTTGATTTGCTTCGGAGCAGATAATTCGACGTTTGACTGCTAACGAATTCAACCGGATTCGTGCAGGGTGTAAAATCCTGCTAATCGTAGGGTTCATCGCGTTTTTGTATTAGGAAATGGGTAAGGGTAAACTGAAAGACAAACATATCCTATATTTTTCAACAGATGAAAAAGACAACCTCTTCATTTTTTTTTTGTACAATGAATAAAAGTAATAATAAAATGTCACTTGTGTACGAAGTGGCAAAGAGCCCTTAAGGGCTGTTCGGCTCCTTTACGCAAGGCGGAAGCTAAGTTAATATAACCAGAAGAAGTTAGTCGTAGGGTACGTTTTGCACATGCGCTAGACTCGTGAAAGCTTTTCATCCTACTGAGCCTTCACACTCCGAGTTGATCCTAAGCCTCATGCGATAAAGCTGGTCATCGCCGAATCATTTATCATTGAAGTTAATCACTGCAATGACGCGGATGCTGCAGTAAAATGACCATGCTTCATATTATATATATATACAATGAAAAAAATCAAATTCCGACACATAAACATTTTTTTCTAACAATCGCATCCACAGAAAGTAGCCCGTTGTTTTACCTATGAGAAATAAAACACCAACAGCAGGGTGGACCGGACCAACGGGTAAAATAAAAACGACACACGACATAAAATTAAGGGAAATAGCATGTTCCGAAATGTCCAGCCAATGAAGTATCTCTGTTTGGGAGTCGTGGCCGAATTTTCATTGTGTATATTCCGCTTGCTACGGTAACATGCCGTTGTCGTTAGAAGAAATGTCTTTTTAAAACCGACTTTGATAAGGAAATAAGATAACGTTTGCTTCGTAAGTGTTCTGCTGGCGCGCGATGCAGGACATCTCAATGGAAGACACACCTTGTGGAAACAAATGAAGCATTCACTAAAGGAACCTTTCGCATACAACTATTTATTAGTAAGTTTGTCTCTCGTTGAGTTTTGTCAGTTGAACGTTTTTATCTCGTCTCTATTTTACCGTATGCATATATATGTATATATAACGTACATGCGTCGAGCATCTCGAGAACGGAATAGGCAATTGTTTTGAACAATTTTCGTAATAATTACACTTTATGAAGGGAAGTTATAATGTGGAAACGATAGGACCTTAACAAAATTTAGCGGGCGTTAGAATGGAGCTACAAATATATTTTAAACACTTTTAACACAAAAAAGACATTTAGTTAATTTCAAAGATATTGCCACCGACATGTCAACAAAATGTAGTTACATGATTTACTGTGACCAGTTTATAATAGATATTGAATACACCGGTTGATTGCTTGACTTCTGGTCTCGCCTAAGATGGTACACAGCTTAACACAAGTATATGAAAAAAAAACAAAACAAAAACTTACAAATTATCGTCGTTCGATAAAGGGAGATTACTAGGGAGAGTAACTGCAAGTTAGACACTTCCGAAAATATAGTTAGTCATTAGGCGGTTTGGTATGACGCGACCTTCGTCGACAAAACAAATGAGTCTCCTTAAATTTCGATAATGTAGGACAGAATGTTTGTTACCGTGGAAGTTAGAAAAATCGTTAACTGCCAATAGCGTACGAGCCTTGAGGTGAGATGTTTGCACGAACATGCTGTCGAAGGCAAAGCTTGTATCGGTGCATGTAAAGCGTTGTGTTACTTTGTGAACGTGTAAAGTCTATTGGGTTTCGAAATTTTGCATTAAATAGACCGACAGCTCACCAAAAGTTCTGAGATTTGTAGAACGTTGCCGAAACGTTTATTGCTCCCTGTCTTTTTCATGCGATTACGGTTGCTTGCCAAATTAAGTAAAAGATATAAGCATGAGAATAGCAAGCTGCTTGCTTATATACTTGTACAACATAGCTGATGATGGATCAAGGTAAATTAAGTAGCTGTATGAAGTGACGTCTTAGATGTTGAATGAATATTTTTTGAGGTACTCTTTGAGAACAAAATTTCCATATTTTGCAACCAGCTTTAAATCATTAGCAGCATTGCAGTACGTTATAATCGATTATTTCTGAGATCAATTATTAATATTACTGCCTACTTGATCTTTCAGACATATATCGAATATTTGAATTGAGTACTTTTAAAAACCGCCATACTAATTTATGTCGAACACCGGATCGTAATAATGGTAGAAAAAGATACCGCGGAGAATTCAAATCTTTAAGAAATAAAATGGTGGTCTCTCTGGTCCGTGTTAGCGGGCGTGTCAGTGTCGTTGTACACTATATACTACGCGATGAGAACTCTGGGCACTGTACCCAATTTTTGTTGAGCTGTTTCATCATAACGTTAGACTACCTAATCAATGTGTCGCTCCGGTGAAAACTTGCCGGAACCACATGCGCTGGCGGATGGTCGCTAGGTCTCAGCACGCACGCCATTATTATCGCACCTATATTATAGAATCGATTTATAAATTTTCGCCAGCGAGTAACTTGGTTGTTGAAACTGTTCGGATCTGTCAGGTCGGTGCCTACATTTGAGGAGGTGTGCCTTGTCATTGTTAATCGGGCTGTTGCAATGCACATCGGTATAAATAAATCTTGTTGACCTTATACCCTGTTCATTTACAGACAACACATTTGTTAGTATCGTGTCGTGTGGCCGCGAATAGCAACTAACAGCTGAGCGGCTGGCAGTGAACGCCGACTGCACTGTTGCATTTCCCGCTATTCAATATTGAAGCATATCTACCTGTTTCATAAAAAAACTGTCCACAGATTCATTAATATTTACCAAGCATTTATTGCGTCAGCGGATACCTATCTTCGCTATAGTAGATCCACAGGATGACACCGACGCAACACAACGTGTCCACTGTTCTCCTGATAACATAAACTGCTATTGTTATTATTTGCATAAGCTAGAACAGTTACATCTGCTTAGGGGTATGGGTAAACCTCTACAACTCCACGCACACACATCTACAAACAATCTTTGTACGTACGTACTATTCTGGTGTTAGCAACCCTTTCACGTTAGCCAGTCGCCTAAAGAACAGCTCATAGTCCATCTGTTCTGTGTTCCTCTTCACGCATCGTGTCAGGTGCGCTTCGTTACTGAGCTATTTCCTCACTGCATCCTTAATGAGGTTTACTGCCTCCTGCTATTTGTTTGCAGGGCGGCAGTGAGGGGTTCCTTTCTCACTGTAATGTCTACTTTGTTGTTCTTTGGCCTTACCGTTGCCAGGTTACGGTGGCGACTACCATGGAGCGAATGTGATACGCGACTAACTGTTAGCTTCATCACAGCTCCCTATGTATCTATGCACCAATTTGACCCAAGCTCGGGTTCACCTAAACCGTCCGCTGTCGTTGAATGACTGATGCGCAACACACTAATTTATTACGTAACAGAGCGTCGACAGGGGTAACCTAGGGTCGTATCATAAGCAGCTCGTGGCAAAAACATCAGAGAGAAGAGGAATGGGGAGCGGACTAAGTGAAAACGGATGTGGAGGCCCATGTGATTCAATTGCTTTCATAATTTCGTTAAAATCGGTAATTAATCGGGCTGCAGAGGTTTGTGGGCGCAGTTCTGTTTTATAGCCGTATGCGTATAAGGACAGGAGGTTCGACGTCAAGATCGAAGTACTTATATGTCTAACGGTGTTAGCTCAATTGCGAATAACAGCCGCGACAGTAAACGTTATTCTACGCTACGCAGGGACGAAAAGTTTCACCGGCCAAAATGGCCGAATGGCTGCGCTTCAAAGGAAAATCAATAGCGCTTTGCCGATAAGTGAACGTTTCAATGATAGCAAGTAGCACTCTTTTACAGCCTATGGCAATTATAGCTGGAAATGACTAAGCAAGTCTATCAGAGGCTAAGGACTGCTCGCGTCGCGTTTCCTACGTCACCTCTCCATCGATCCTTGCGTATGATTTGAACACGGCTGATAAAACACTTCTGCTGCACTGTTATCGTGAGTATTAGCTACGCTAATTAAAAGTTTGGAGGAAAGTTACTCGGACGCAAAGTGTATCACATTTGAATAGGGTAAACGCTGTTAAAATGTATAATAAATCAGTTAATAATAATAACACGGAGACCGATCCGACAATGATCCCCAATGGATAGAATCCGTAGATTGCCACAAACGATAATATGTTTCCAACTTGCAGATTTTGTTCCCAGAGAATTTTTTTTTCTAAATGATCGAATCGAGTATGAACGTCCTGCTGATAAAGAGGTCTTATTACGCGAATTTTCAAAGCAACGGTGAGCAGAGAAAAATTCTCAGACAGTTTGTTAATGGAGTTACATCCACCAATTATTGTTGTTTGGATAACTCCAAGACCTTAAAGGCATTGACACTTCCGTATCACTTACATAAACGCTGAATAAACAATAAGCATCGCATTGTTCTACATATTTAATAGTGACACGCGGATCTGTCAGGTGGGTCCACTGGCCATCTATATGCGAAGTCGACGGCAAGCGACGTCAAGCCATCTCGATACCAGCGTGAATCCTGCCGAAAAATCCTAATCGCGATAACGAAGAGGCACATGTTTTTTCCCATAGAAAGAACATGCCAAACGCTTCTGTTACGTTTTGCGTACCCCTGATAAGCCTATTGGTTCTGACCAATTATCGCGCAGATACAGCCTAACTATAGAGAACTGTCGTCAGGTCACCGGACGTTGACTTGTTTGATAGGCGTATGCTGATTAACTCTCCAATGTTGACCATACGAACAGCGGGACGTCGCATGTCCAACGTCCGATATCCATTCTTCTACTGCCAGCCAGTTTCGAGTGTTCATTAGGATGTCGCTATTTACCGACTCGGTGTGGCTTTTTGATTGTCACTCTGGTATTTTTTATGCTAATCTCATCATCATTACTATTATTGCTATTTTAGTTGCAGAGCTGCTCGAGTAGCAATAACAAGATGAATTGTTTTTACGTATCATGATAACAGTCAAGCAGCAGGTCCCATCTTCCCGGAACCATCGTCCCCCTTCTACGCAGCATCGGTGTTCTGTCTGCTCTATATATGTATGCGTGCGTTCTCTCAGAATGATATGGCATGGTCGTATATGTAACCACAAGTAACAATAAACACAGCAACAACAACAGCGCCAAGAATAAGAAGAAAAACGAGGAACCTCAATGCAACTAGCATAGATTGCTGTCTGGAGGGTATCGTGACCAGTCTGTTGATAGGCTGAATAAGTAGTGTAAACCAGTGACTCACATGACTTGCAGTATCCTATTTACGTGCGTAGTTTGATACGCGACAAAAGAACGGATTCGGATTTAATACGTTGAAAGCCTAACAATCAGTCCAAAAGGTGCCAAGGCGAACAAGACAAACCATCGGGCTTTATGTGGACGATGCAGCTGGCGATAGATACTTCTCTCTCAAAAACAAACTGCTAATTATAGCACTGAAAGCCCGCGATTAATAGAAATGGCTTTTTGTGTCGTTTAAATCAGCCTTCTAACCCTTTAAGTCAAATCCCTGTTGTTGATTTTCGCTTATTGTTATAGAAATTTTCCTCTGACGCTTCGGAAAACATTAACGCACCATGTATAATCGTTTTTATTCACAAATAATCGGCGCAAATGCATTGAATACCAGCTGATTCAGAAGTCGGATTTCCTGCCTTCGCCGCTTTTGGGTTTGTGCTTCATTCTAGACAGAACGTAAAAATTACGGGATTACAAGAGTGCACCCTACGTGATGTATTTGCTTGGCATAGAATTTCAATTTATTACTATATGTCTCACATGTTCTCATTGTCACATTTTTTTGTGCATTTTGCTATTTTCCTGAATCCCTCTGTCTAGAGGCTGGATCTAAACATGATTTTTATTATCAGCTTACACTCTGGGTAAATGCACAGATCTCTCACGGAATCGTAAGGCCTGCAGCGCTTCTAACGCCCACTCGGTCGTCTTTCGTTTCACCATAAGGGACAATAATGAAACGTGTAATATAGTGTTCGTAGACGTAGACGTAGCTGCTACCGAGTCACTGTCAGCGACCTTATTCAGATGAAAATGTTTTCCTTCTATCCATTTCACACTCGTAATAGCCAATAGTCGATATTAAAGCAGTTGGCCAAACCGCACAAAGCTACACGAGAATACGGTCATAGCAATGCGTCAGATAGATTCTTGGCAATGCGGATGATACTCGCGGGCGTTAAGATACTTAAATGAAGAACCAATAACGGAAAACTGTGATCCTACTTCGCCTGCTGGTTTCCAACTTAACCTCGAAACTTTGTTTTTTTTTTCATAAGTTTCATAAGAACGCGTTTAGCAGATATTTTTTGGTTTCGTTTTCCCACTTTGTTCACATAAATCTGCCAAGCACGTGTGAGCTGAACGCCGCACCTGGCAGGGTCTAGCTCCTAAGCTAAGCGGTCGATCTTCGTTCGATTTCTGTGCACGTGCGCTACAGCGAACCAAAAAAGTAGCTGTTCAACCCATTGACATATAATGAAGCATAATGAAGCCGACTTATTTCTTGACAAAGTTCCAGCTTGTCTGATATCGGCCAAGGCGAAACTATTTCAACAACGGATAATAACAATAACCGTGTACACATGCAGCTTACATGTGTTTCTGTCATTACTAGCCGTCGCTTGGCAAATCTCGTTTAGTTTTTTCTCTAATGGAATTATGGAATTCACATTAACGAATGATAACATGGGCGTACTGTCGAACGATAGGTAGGCTTTGATTATTTCTGTGACCACTTCCTTTTGTCCAGTAAAAATGAGAAAAACCCACTGTGGTTCGCACTAGAGCTTCATGATAATCCGATTTATAGACAAGACAATATCTTATGGTCTTTACGTCGGTTCTCGTTCGACCGTACAACGTTACATAAAAAGGATAGAAGATTAAACTAGACATCATGAAATATGCGATAAGCGTTTCGGCATATGATTTCCACGTTTTGGGAGACAGGATCACGGTAGGCGATTTCGGATGATGCTTGCCATTATCGTAACTAAGGCCACCAAATGCTTCCCTTTGTTTTATTTAGGCGGGTAAAAGTGGTGAAGTACCCGATTCACGATAACTAAAATATCATATGATATAATACAACTGATAAGCAGAAGCGCTCAGAAGAATTCGGCAATGGCTTAAGTAAAGCTCGGCCCATGGATAAGAGTTATCGTTGAAATAATATCTGCTGTATGTAAAATAGTACATACAATTTCATGATACTCCTATATGTACTCTTTAAACAAATATATGTTCTTCTTGCTTACGTTACTTACTATTAATACCTTTGTCTTTTTAGCTGTTATATAATATATGTGAGTTAGAAGGTATTTTTATTTAATAAAGTTATGACAGTTTCGACCGGTTCGTCTTGCGCGAACTGATTTGACTTAGACGAAAACACTATTTGGTTCCAGATATTAAAACCCTGAAGGATCAGAAAAATGATAAAATAATAATTCACTCTCCTGCCTGATACTCCACGATTCCCCCTCGAGCCCCTACTGGGGGAGGTTTTTGAACCAGTGCTAAAGTGATAAGTGATACCGAGCCATGTCGTAGAAGGAATAGTTGACAATACAACAGTACTATAGCACAATTAGCGCTTACCCTGTTCTTTGCTTGTTAAAGCAAAGATCGCAGATGAAAAGAAAGAAAAAGAAGAAAACGTTTAACGATGTATATAATCAAATCAGTTTTCGTTGTCTTGTTACGTACGTATCCGTCAAAAGAAAAACATTGGCGTAATACGTAAGCATAGTTACTGAGCCATCGCTGATTGTTTACTCAAAACAAGCTCTAATTAACAGAAAATTTTGTCTGCCCCATAGCTATACGAAAAAAGTTGTTAATATCACTATACGTGTCTGTCAAATGTGTATTCGAAGTAAATAATATGCACTCGCTTGATCTTTGCTTAAATTCCAAAATTTGTCCGGTCGTCGATAT